GAAACACGGACAAATTAGAAGAGGCATTTATTTCCGGGTGGGCGGTATTATAACCCATCTTCCTGACTTGGATTTTCTAAGTGAAAGTGTGAGTCACTTAGTCATGTCTGACTCTTTGTGACCCCATGGACTGTAGCCCTCCAAGCTTCTCATGGAATTCTCCAAGCAAGAATATTGAAATAGGTAACCATTCCTTTCTCCAGGGGATCTTCCCAACCCAGGGACCGAACCCGCATCTCCTGCATTGCAAGTGGGTCCTTTACCATCGGAACCAAAAGCATTGCTTAATATTTTTAGTATTCTTCACTCCAGGATACATTGCTTAGTTCTCTCTTCTGTCAGCCTACAGTTGAATTTATCATGATATCATATTAATTTTGCTGAAATGTCATTTTAATCTTTATTATTCTTTTGTTAAACACTGTACTGTCTCCTTATTACTTAAAAATAAAATAAAATTAGAAGTCTTCAATCATTCAGGGTTCAAATTTCAAGGTCCAATGTCACGTTCCAGGCATATAAGACAGACACCTACTGCACCTACTCCACTCCTCGACTCCCCATCTCCCTAACTCCACTTCAAACCTTATCCTTTCTTAAATGCTTAACGAAAATGTTCTTAGCAATTTTATCAGAACACCCACAGCCCTTATGCATAATCCTGTAATGTCATGCATTTTTAGAATTAAAAAAAGGTTAGAGCAGCAAGACACTATTAAAATCCTTTGGCTCAACTTCCCCCTTTACAGATGCAGAAACTACAATCCAATTAGAAAAGATGGCTTATTCAGGAATTCAATGCTGAACTCTTCGGAGTTCAGTACTTTAAGGAATACAGGGCCTACAATTACTGGATCTCCCATCTGCTGATCAATTGCTTAGCAATTTTTCATGACTCCATTCCCAAGGGTATGTCTAGCCTGCCTATCTTGATCGTCCTCATTTATTCCAGGGCAGATAGCATGGCAGATAGATTCCTTTCTATCTCCATTGTACCCAGTGCTGCAGAGTGAGTGCCGAAGAAATACGGCGGAAATCACCTCAAGCAACCCAGCGATGGAAGTGAAGATACAAATCTGTGACAGCAATATTCCATCTTAACAATGTGGCTGCTACATCCAGCTGGCTGGTAACGACCATCAGAGGAGGTGGTGGAAACTTTCTTCTACATACTATGTGGCTGTTCTAGCCAATGATGAAACCTCAGGGTTATGGTTAAGACAGCACTGATGCATATACACCACCATGTGAAAACTAGATAGCTAGTGGGAAGCTGCTATATAACATGGGGAGCTTAGCCCGGTGCTCTGTGATGACCCAAAAGGTGGGATGAGGGGTGCTGGGAAGGGGGGCTCAAGAGGAAGGGGGTGTATGTATACTTACGGCTGATTTACATTGTTGTACAGCCGAAACCAACATAATATTTAAAGCAATTATCCTCCAATTAAAAATAAATTAAAAGAAAAAAAAAAGATCCTGGAAAGAGAGCCAGGATAAGAAAACAGGGACTGGAACTGGGCCCACAGACGGCATCTCTGCAGCCAGTTCACTGCAAAACACATAAGCTCAAGGAAGGATTTGACTCAAAAGCCAGGGTGAGTAGTAGATGTCAAAGTTGCAAGTGGCTCTTTTCACACACACACACACTTTTAAATTCTGAACGACATATACGAGGAAGAGAAACATTTAACAAGGGTACCAATCAGATAATGTACAATGTGTTAACAAATAACTGGTGGACGAAATGCCATTGCAAGCCCGAAGATCCAGGAGACAGGGAAAGGCGAACCTCTGGGGTTAATCAGCATTCAAAAGCAAGGAGAACTAGGACATGCCCTCAAGACACAATCACGCCAGCTTCTTCGTCCTGGCTCGGTACTCTGGGGTCATGAGCCACACAAACCCAGAAGCATCTGCCAAGATCTCAAACCGCTGAGCAAGCACTCTCTGCCATTTGTCCAGCTGTTGTGAGATGACAGAAGAATGTTCCCAGGGTTTCATCAAGTAGATTTCCCTTTCAATTCAGAACAATATGATTAGAATACAAAATTTCTTGTTAGTTATGATTTTTGCCACTCTGAGTGTATATTTACCTGGGTGTAGACATCTACTGCTTATTTTTGCAACTGACAAAGGTAAATAGAAAACATCATGGCACATTAAAAAATGAGTAATGTTGAAGAAATAAAATAAATCACTCTTTTCCTCTAATAGCAGAGTCACTGCTAGAGAAGTAGGTGTCCATTCACCTGGCGATTCAAAATGTCTTCAATATAATTTATCAAAACTCCATTCCTTTCCTTCCTTTCTCGTACGTGAGTATCACAATTTCAAAGGAAATGATTTAATGGTGAAATCTCAGGTTGTAGAATAGCCAGCTCACATATATCAACATGATTGTTATATGTGGAAGTGAATGCACTGGACTTGTTAAAAAATGTGAACTGCTCCTTCCCATTAAAGGAAGAAGAAAGAAAAACATCAAAAAAAAAGAAAACCTTCAAAAGAAAAATATAAAGGCTCCAGTGACTGATCTTGGTTGCTTTTCACATAAAGACTCAATATGTGGGAGTTAATTATATTAGTGATGGTGGGTAACAAGCTATTAATTTTGTGCTTCAAAGTTATTAACCACCTTTCTATATACAGTTCACAGGCAAATGAATGGACTTAATCTCTGTATTAAAACGCAAAACAAACCAAACAATCCCACGTTTCATGACTTTTCAGAGTTCATTACCTCCTTGACAATGCTTTCCCAGAGGCCAGATATGCTGCTTTAGAAATGTCTCTGGCAGTTCACATGGGAAGCCTGTGAATGTGGATTTAATCACATTTAAGTCATTCCTCAGACATGAAAGGTCACCAAGGAAAAGCATTTTTTCCTAGTGATTCAACTATACTGGTTTAGTAAAATTTCTTCTTCCAATGATCCCACAACTCCTGAGAGAGTCTGCTAGTTTAATGTGTCACATGGCTAACATGTGCAAATTTAAACAAGTCAGTGGAGGAAATAAAACATTTAAGATGATAACATTTACTGTCAAGATAAGTTTGTAGATTTCTTTTTTTTGGTCGTGTCTAATTCTTTAGGGTAAAACTTAACATTATTTAATTCTAAAGTAGCAATTTTATATAGATGAGGATCTTTATCTAATTACCAAAGGACATTTTACTTGTAAAAATCATTACACATGTAAAAAAAAATTACAGTAAATGAAGGCATTATTACCATAAATCATGATACTTATCTGCATTTAAGGGTCTCTGTGCTCTAATAAGAGCAAACAATAGTTTGGTTTATCAATGTTTCCACACAAAATTTACAATGATTCATTTGATTTATTAAAAGTCTCATCATTCAAAGGTATCCAAATATCCATAAAATTAGGAAATAATTGCCATAAAATCAAGAAATAATCACAAAGTCTCCATACAAGAAACCATTCAACAAGACAGTACCTAGTGGAAATGCTTACATTATAAAAATAATATTGAAAATTATAACTCTGACTAAGCTGTATCAATAAACTACGCTTTCAAGAAACAAAATTTTTGGTACTATTGCTATAGTGCTAATAAGTAAGTTGCTTCAGTCGTGTCCAAGTCTTTGAGACCCCGTGGACTGTAACCCATCAGGCTCCTCTATGCATGGAATTTCCCAGGCAAGGATACTGGGGTGGGTTGCCATTTCCTTCTCCAGGGGATCTTCCTGACCCAGAGATCGAACCCAGGTCTCCTGCACTGGCAGGCGGTTTTTTACCACTAGCACCACTTGATATAGAATATACCTCATCTTACCCATGGGAAAAACTAAGGTTCAGTGAGCTAAGTTCCTTGCCCAAAGTGAGAGTGTAGGTGACAAATCCCGGTCATCTGGCTACAGAACACATATTTATTTTGTGCAGACTAAAAAATTTAAATTTTAGAGTAGTTTTAGATTTATACAAAACTGTGGAGAGCAGTACAGAGGGCTCCTGTGTATGCCTCTCCAGTTTCCCCGACTGCTGAAACCTGATGTCACACACAACACCCACCACACCTGAGGGGCACACCCCGCAACGCTGCCACGAGCTACACCGCACACCTCACATGTCTTGCACTGCTTTTTCCCTAACAGATTCCAGGCAGGACACCACATGACACTCTGTTCTCACGTCTCCCTGGCCTCTTTCACCTGCGACAGTGTCTCAGACTTTCTATTTTTCATGATCTTTACAGTTTTAAGAAGTAATAGTCAGGGCAGGGGTGTTCAGGATGGGGGACACATGCACCCCCGTTGCTGATTCATGTCAATCTACGGCCAAAACCACCATAATACCGTAAAGTAATTAGCTTCCAATTAAAAATTTAAAAAAAGAAGAAGAAGCACTGATCAGGTATTTCGTAGAATGTCCCTCCATTTGGGTTTGTGTGATGTCTTTTCCTGGTTAGAGTGGAGTGATAATTTTTGGAGGAAGATCACAGAAGCCAAGCGCCATCCGCAATATACTGATACAAAGGGTGTATACACGCTATCACTGTGACTTCCCTTTGATGATCTTAACTTTGAAGACCAGGCTAGGGTACCAGTTGCCTGGCTTCTCCATTCTAAAGTTACCATCCTCCCTTTCTCTCTTTTCATGCTCTGCTTTTTGGAAAAAAGTTAAGTGGGTGGAAGTGGGAGAGGGTCAAGACACACTAACAGGGTGTGGAGCAGGGGATATCTAAATAAATTATTCAGCATTTTCCTATCAAAGCTTTCATTTCTAGCCCACTCTTCTATATTGCCTCTGACATTCTACCTTTTCTTAGTGTTTTGGCATATTATTCATGTGCAGTAGTTTAAAAACACAATTCTTCACTAATTTCCCACTTTTGCAAAGGTCCCAAAAAATATGTTAGAATTAAATGTGACAATCAACAAACCTGAAAGTATTTTCCACTATCACTGTAGGATTTGTCACTAAGGAATGCATTCAGAACCAACATTCCTCAGAAGCACTCTGTAAAGAACTTACCAGAAATATTCGTTCAAGTTGATCCTGAATGTCTTTCATTCCTGGAAAAGCAGCAACTCCCTGGATCATCTCAACAAAGATGCAGCCGACTCCCCTAAAGAGAAAAGAAAGAATTGTTACAAAAACTTCAATATATTCCACTTAGAAAACTAAATCTTCAATTAGAACATCTACCCCTACAAAGAGAAAGAGCAAATAAATAACATTCTCAACAAGTATGAAGGGCTGTACCACATGCACCTAGACCCCATAACTTTTCTTTCCCTTCTCTGTCTACTTCCCAGAAAAGGTTCCAAATAGATACAAGTGTACCAGGCTCAAAGAATCTGCCTGCAATGTGGGAGACCAGGGTTCAATCCTTGGGTAGGGAAGATCCCCTGGAGAAGGGAATGGCTACTCACTCCAGTATTCTTGCCTGGAGAATCCCATGGAGAGGGAGCCTGGTGGGCTACAGCCCACAGGGTCACAAAGAGTCCAACATGACTGAGTGACTAACACTTTCACTTTTCACTGTTCCATACCAGGCTCAGAAAATGGTGGAAACCAACTAAATATAAATCTCACGGACTCACCTTCACTCAGGATACAATCAAGAAACTCCTTAGCCTGATATAGAAAGCCTCCATAGTCTTGTTCTACCACGCTTTTCCAACTCGATTTCACAAATTCATAATGTGTTGTCCTCTCCAACTTTCCAGGGCTCTCCTTGCATCAAAATCATCTGGGGAACTTTTAAAATAATGCAAATGATCTGAACACAAACTCCAGAGACCTGGTTTCAATCAGTCGGAGGTCAGGCATTTAGGTGATTTAGGGCAACTACAGTGAGGATCTGTGAGCTTTCAACTGTAGTGTTGGAGAAGACTCTTGAGAGTCCCTTGGACTGCAAGGAGATCCAGCCAATCCATCCTAAAGGAGATCAGTCCTGAGTGTTCATTGGAAGGAGTGATGCTGAAGCTGAAACTCCAATACTTTGGCCACCTGATGCAAAGAACTGACTCATTGGAAAAGACCCTGATGCTGGGAAAGATTGAGGGCAGGAGGAGAAGAGGACAACAGAGGATGAGATGGTTGGATGGCATCACTGACTTGATGGACATCAGTTTAAGCAAGCTCCAGGAGTTGGTGATGGACAGGGAAGCCTGGAGTGCTGCAGTTCATGGGATCACAAACAGTTGGACTTGAAGTGAACCGAACAGTAAGGATCTCTGAGTCAGACTGATCCCCCCACGGGCCAAGCATAAACCTACACAACTTGGCCTGAATTGCTCCACTTCCTAGAACTCCTTTTTTCTTTACCTGTTTGCTCTTGACATGTAAATACAACCCAACCTATGGCTCAGTGGTAAAGAATCTGCCTGCAATGCAATAGACGGGGGTTCGATCCCTGGGTCAAGAAGATCCTCTGGAGAAGGAAATGGCAATCCACTGCAATATTTTTGCCTGGGAAATTCCATGGACAGAGGAGCCTGGTGGGCTACAGTCCATGGGGCCACAAAGAGTTGGATACAACTTAGCGACTAAATGACAACAACAAATATGATCTCTTTTACAAAGTCTTCCATGAACATTCTGCCAGACAGGATAGCTCCCTTTCTGAGTTTGTTTGTTAAACTCTTATTCAATACCAAACATCTACTATGGCCAACTTCTTCAGTCATGCTCACAGTTCCTCTCGGCAAGGCAGTCCAATGTATTAGGAGACCTTGCCTCCCAGACCCCAGAAGCCTGTACCTAACCCTATAGGAACACCTGACCCATAGTACAGGCAGAAAGCAAATCAGATACTTCTGCTGAAAGTCTAGAGATAAAGTCACCTGGGAACAGGATGGAAAGAAACTAGCATATGTTGATGAAATAAATCACTTTAATGGCAGAGCTGGCAAAAAATGGCCAGCTTCCTGCAGAAGAAGTTCCCTGAATTGACCTGGTTCCCACCTTCTGAAGGCCTGGATAAATCCATTGTTTTTGCTAGATCTCTCTAACTTCTTTACAACTCTCTCTGATTTTATTAAATGGCTCTACCTTGAAGGGGTTTATGTTTCCTGAAGATACAGTAATAAAATCACAAACACAGTAAGACACTTCTTTACTTGCAGCACTCGTAATTCATTTTTTAAAAAGATTTTTGATGTGGACCATTTTCGAAGTGTTTATTAACTTTGCTACAATATTGCTTTCTCTTTTATGTTTTGGGTTTTTTGGCTACAAGGCAAGTGGGATTTTAGCTCTCTGACTACAGATTGAACTCACAGCTCCTGAGACTGGAAGGGGAAGTCCTAACCACTGGACCACCAGGGAGTCCCTCACATTCAGTTTAGAGTGAGCAATCCCTTGTGATCTAAAGGAGATGAGCCCTGGGCGTTCACGGGAGGGACTGATGCGGAAGCTGAAACTCCCAACACTCTGGCCACAGATCCTCCAGAGGTTAAAGACAATGACTTAACTTCTCCAGCTGCACCAGTTGTATGTGAATAGTATCTTGAATTTAAAAAGTCATACATCAGCACAAATCTCTTCTCTATTACATCGCATAATTTTTATACAAATTAAACACCAACAGTATTCCACGCAAACGGAGACCAAAAGAAAGCAGGAGTCGCAATACTCATATCAGATAAAATAGACTTTCAGATAAAGGCTGTGAAAAGAGACAAAGATGGACACTACATAATGATCAAAGGATCAATCCAAGAAGAAGTTATAACAATTATAAATATATATGCACCCAACATAGGAGCACCGCAGTATGTAAGGCAAACGCTAACGAGTATGAAAGAGGAAATTAATAGTAACACAATAATAGTGGGAGACTTTAATACCCCACTCACAACTATGGATAGATCAACTAAACAGAAAATGAACAAGGAAACACAAACTTTAACACACACAATGGACCAGCTAGACCTAATTGACATCTATAGGATGTTTCACCCCAAAACAATCAACTTCACTTTTTTCTCAAGTGCACACGGAACCTTCTCCAGAATAGATCACATCCTGGGCCGTAAATCTAGTCTTGGTAAATTCAAAAAAACTGAAATCATTCCAGTCATCTTCTCTGACCACAGTGCAGTAAGATTAGATCTCAATTACAGGAAAAAAATTATTAAAAATTCAAACATATGGAGGCTAAACAACATGCTTCTGAATAACCAACAAATCATAGAAGAAATCAAAAAAGAAATAAAAATATGCATAGAAATGAATGAAAATGAAAACACAACAAGCCAAAACCTATGGGACACTGTAAAGGCAGTGCTAAGGGGAAGATTCATAGCATTACAGGCCTACCTCAAGAAACAAGAAAAACGTCAAATAAATAACCTAACTCTACACCTAAAGCAACTAGAGAAGGAAGAAATGAAGAACCCCAGGGTTAGTAGAAGGAAAGAAATCTTAAAAATTAGGGCAGAAATAAATGCAAAAGAAACTAAAGAGACCATAGCAAAAATCAACAAAGCTAAAAGCTGGTTTTTTGAAAAAATAAAGAAAATTGACAAACCATTAGCAAGACTCATTAAGAAACAAAGGGAGAAGAACCAAATCAACAAAATTAGAAACGAAAATGGAGAGATCACAACAGACAACACTGAAATACAAAGGATCATAAGAGACTACTACCAGCAGCTCTATGCCAATAAAATGGACAACTTGGAAGAAATGGACAAGTTCTTAGAGAAGTATAACTTTCCAAAATTGAACCAGGAAGAAATAGAAGATCTTAACAAACCCATCACAAGCAAGGAAATCGAAGCTGTAATCAGAAATCTTCCAGCAAACAAAAGCCCAGGACCAGATGGCTTCACAGCTGAATTCTACCAAAAATTTAGAGAAGAGCTAACACCTATCTTACTCAATCTATTCCAGAAAATTGCAGAAGGTAAACTTCCAAACTCATTCTATGAGGCCACCATCACCCTAATTCCAAAACCAGACAAAGATGCCACAAAAAAAGAAAACTACAGACCAATATCACTGATGAACATAGATGCAAAAATCCTTAACAAAATTCTAGCAAACAGAATCCAACAACATATTAAAAAAATCATACATCATGACCAAGTGGGCTTTATTCCAGGAATGCAAGGGTTCTTTAATATCCGCAAATCAATCAATGTAATACACCACATTAACAAATTGAAAGATAAAAACCATATGATTATCTCAATAGATGCAGAAAAAGCCTTTGACAAAATTCAACATCCATTTATGATTAAAACTCTCCAGAAAGCAGGAATAGAAGGGACATACCTCAACATAATAAAAGCTATATATGACAAACCCACAGCAAGCATCACCCTCAATGGTGAAAAATTGAAAGCATTTCCCCTGAAATCAGGAACAAGACAAGGGTGCCCACTCTCACCACTACTATTCAACATAGTTTTGGAAGTGTTGGCCACAGCAATCAGGGCAGAAAAAGAAGTAAAAGGAATCCAGATAGGAAAAGAAGAAGTGAAACTCTCTCTGTTTGCAGATGACATGATCCTCTACATAGAAAACCCTAAAGACTCTACCAGAAAATTACTAGAGCTAATCAACGAATACAGTAAAGTTGCAGGATATAAAATTAACATGCAGAAATCTCTTGCATTCCTATACACTAACAATGAGAAAACAGAAAGAGAAATTAAGGAAACAATACCATTCACCATTGCAACAAAAAGAATAAAATACTTAGGAGTATATTTACCTAAAGAAACAAAAGACCTATACATAGAAAACTATAAAACACTGATGAAAGAAATCAAAGAGGACACAAACAGATGGAGAAATATACCGTGTTCATGGATTGGACGAATCAATATTGTCAAAATGGCTACACTACCCAAAGCAATCTATAGATTCAATGCAATCCCTATCAAACTACCAACGGTATTTTTCACAGAACTAGAAAAAATAATTTCACAATTTGTATGGAAATACAAAAAACCTCGAGTAGCCAAAGTAACCTTGAGAAAGAAGAATGGAACTGGAGGAATCAACCTGCCTGACTTCAGACTATACTACAAAGCCACAGTCATCAAGACAGTTTGGTACTGGCACAAAGACAGAAATATAGATCAATGGAACAGAATAGAAAGCCCAGAG